GTGTATGAATGTGTGCGAATGGGGTGAGTGTGGCATGTAGTGCACAGCAAATTCAGTGGTTGGAGACTAGAAAGGTGCTATATAAGTACAATCCATTTACCATTTACACTACTGGTCACCAAAGCTTCACAGGGGGTCGCAAGGCCTTCTTGATTTTAAGGGGGCCCAATATTTTTCTTTTGAGTAAAGACAGTAAAACCAGTGATTTGGATACATTTTGAGCAGATTGAGTATTTTCTTGTTGTTTTTTTAATAGCTTCTTGGTTGTTTGACTGTGTACTTTTCTAATACGTAATTGTTTTTACACCTTAAAATCAAGAAGGCCTTGCGACCCCCTGTGAAGCTTTGGCGACCCCTAGTGGGGGTCCAAACCACTGGTATAAGAGAACTTTTATTAATCTTAAATTCATTTTTTAAAGAAAACAAATTGTTGTTTTTAAAGTGTAATCTTAAAGATCTAAACTTAAATAAGGGCACGGTGAAGTTGGACAAGCTATATTCACAGAGCCTTCACTCTGATAAACAGCCTCATCCTGCATTAGAAAAGTAAAAAAAACAAAGAGCTAATAGAACAATGTGAATGAGACAATGAATTTGTTGAAAAAGAAGTCTATTATTTATGTATGACTGTTAAAAAAAAATTAAGAAAATACATAATACAGAATGAGAGAAAAGTTCCTAAAAATATCAGAAAAACAATCAGACTTTATCACAAAAAGTCAGCAGACCTTGAAGGCTCCGGGCGTGATGAAGGAGATGTTGTTGTGATCCAAACAGAGGTACTTAAGGGAGGGCAGGGTTCCGAAGGCCCTCTCTGCCAGAAACTTGAGTCTGTTCTTCTCCAGGTTGATGGCCGAGGCCTCGCAGGGGAACTCTTTAGGCAGCTCAGCCAGGCCAGAGCGGTCGCACAGCACGCTGCAGCTCTTCTCCTGCGTGCAAGAGCAGGATGGAGGGCAGGCCCGAACGCATGCCCACCGCGCCAGCACCGCCTGGGGCAGCAGGCACAGCAAAGATACTGAAAGCAGGACAGAGGGAGCGAAACAACACTGCGGTCAGTCTGAAATACTGCTGCTAAAAAGAACCACGAGAGCCAGACAAACAAGTGTGAGAATTTTCAATAATGTGCATGTCCATAGTAATCCATATTCTGATTATTGATTAATCTGTCAATCATTTTCTCGATTAACCGATGTTAAGCTGTTTGGTCCATAAAATGTCAGAAAGGTGTTTCTTATATGTTATCTTATAATATTATTGGTGTGTGTTCATTTGTGTATAATCACCTCATTTTTATCTACAGAGGGAGCAGGTCCTCTTCTACACCTCTAGGCGCCACTAAATCCTACACACTGGTCCATTAAAGCTGCAGTAGGTAACTTTTATAAAAATATATTTTTGTAATAGAATCAAGAATCCACTGAGTCTGAATGAAAGTGTTGAGTCTCATTCGAAGGTCGTCAAATACAAATGCTTTGGAACAATCAACTATCTTTCTTGGCTCTGATTGGTCGTTTTGTTCAGGCACTGTGGATTCTTGTAATTGCCATTAGGAGCACTAGCAGGAGCCAGAGGAACCTGATTTTTTCACAGATTATCTGTCTTATGTACTACTGTCAGGATATAGTGAAAGTTTCAGCAAATATGACAAAAAATATCTTTTAGAGAAATGACCTACTGCAGCTTTAATACATCAA